ATTTGTTTTGTAAAAAAAGAACTGGTAGGTTCTGTGCACAGCTGTATCACAGGCACCTACAACAGAACCTTGAGATAAAGACAGAGAGAGGAAGAGGGAAAAGGAGAGGGAGGTCTGCTAAATATTTTTCAGATAAAGACCCGAGCTATTTTAATGAAAAAAGTTGTTACTTAACCCATGCTCTGCTCACTTGAATAGCTTCGTAACCCATTAAAACCAATGTTGTCAAAGTTGTTAATGTGGTACCTTTTCTAATTTCACTTTTATGAGAAAGACACAATGAGGAAAAAGAATTACTAAAGGTATATTTGAAGGAAAAATATAATTATTCCCCTAAAATAAGCACAACTTTGGTTATAGTCTGTAAATCAACTACTCTACTAGACAGGACAGTAAGCATTGTTTTTCTTCATCTTTACCTCTTCCTCTAAGTCTCTTCACTCCGTCCACCATCACAATTTTTGTCTCAATGCTTTGTGCCCTGCACTTATAGTCTATTTTATTTATTTGCTCATCTGTCTCATGCCAGAGAACATGCTACTTGATAGTAAGAATCTTGAAGTTAAAAATTGCCAAATTATGCATTGAACTACCTAGCTTGGCATCAGGCACAAAGACATTTAATAAATGCTAATCAGCTTGAGTGTAAGAGAGTTAGTCATAAATCTGAAAAAGGACTTGCAATTGTGAATCATCGCACTACTCAGGGATAGAAAAAGGAATATATTTTGAAATCTTTCTCAGTGACAATGTCTGTAGTAAGTTGCACTCCTACCCCAAAGGTGGCACCTCTCTGGAAGTCTGAAGTCACCATCTGCTCCATTGGAGAAAGATGGACAGTTTCATCCTAAGTGATTTACAGCCTCTAAAAGTTCACTGAAGGGCCAGCTATGAGTTGATTACATCTCGAAGGCAGTAAGAGAAAGTTGAGAGGTGGGTGGGCAGGGAAGAAACGGGGGAGGGCAGGAGGGAGAATCCTAAACCATAAAAATGTTATGTTTAGTAACCTAAATGCCATTTCTAGAATTTTCAGATCAACAACATTTTCTAGGCTTAATCTTAGCTATAAGGAGCCCTAGTGGCATAGTGGATTAAGCATTGGGATGCAAGTGTAAAGGTTAGAAGTCAAAATTCACCATCAACTGAGAGAAAGAGGTGGCAGCCTGCTTTCTGAATGATTGACAGCCTTGGAAACCCTATGGGGCCATTCTACTCTGTCCTACAGGTTACTATGAGCTGGAATTAGGGCTTCAACTTGGAGTTTCTGCTTCTATAAGGAGAATGGAAAGATACTGCACATGATCTGGACTGAAGTGGAATAAAAAATTACTAAAACAAAAGAATATTAGGTAGACAAGTTGTTTTTCATGGGAAACACAAGTCTACATATTAAAAGACTTTAAAATCATTTATACTTGGAAAGATTGTGAATTATCAGCTTCTACTTTAACAGCAGTTGTTGTTAAGTGGCTTTGAGTATAATTCATATGAACAACAGGCCCGATTCCAGTCCTATCCTGTGCCATTCTCATCACCTTTGACATACTTGACCCCATTGCTGCAGTCACTGTGTCAACCTACCTCGTTTAGGGCCCTAACCATGGGTGGTAGGATTTAATAAGAAGGTGCAAGTTGAAAACTATGTGATACTGAAATGACAAAAAGCTAGCCCAGGGGCTGGGGTGGAAGAGGAAAGTTGTATCCCCATTGTCTCTTTGGTTGTTCTGATAGAAGCCAATAGCTTCCTGTCAACTTTCCCCTACAAGAACATTCACACCATTGCCAAACTGCGGTCATGCTGCTCTTTACTCAACAACCTTAAAGCAAGTCCCCATTTTCAGAACAGCTTCTTTCAAATCCTAACTCTTTTAGGATACAGCCTCAATGCATATTTTCAGCATGGTTTCCCTCTTACTAGGTTTCCGGAAACATGTTACATGTTGTATTAATAAATTTAAGATTATCCAAACATATCATCTAGGATAGTTATAAAACTGACATCAGTTGCCTCCAGCCTACAAAACTAGTTACTTTGCCCTAGAATCCTTTTTTTTTCTTTTCTTTATTCATGTAAAGTATTTTAAACTGCCTGTTTACCAGGAGAGGAAACACATCTTTCTTAGATTAGCATTTACCTCTTTGAAACGGTTTTTTCTCTGGCATATGTAAATTATACCTTAAAGTGTTTGTTTACCAGGAAAGGAAAGGCATTTACCTCTTTAAAATCGTATTTTCTCAGTCATATGTAAACTATTTCACAAGTTCTCTACTTCCTAGTAATTTATGTAAACTGTTCTTTTTGAATGTATAGAAAACCTGTAACTTTAACTAACAAAATTACATGTTAAGTAGATTAACATCTAACCCAACTATAAGAGCTGATGACCAGTCTTAGACAAGGAAGCAGTTTTTGAGATGATTCTCACAGCTCTCTCAGATCTGCAATAAAGTGCTTTGGGTATTACAATTCATCTGTCTTACTGGTAACTGACTTACTGACAACTGAATCCCTTGTGGTAACTCTCAGGTCCCAGATCAGGGTACCCATTTATTTTATACCAGCGCCTCATGTTTCTTTCCTCTGTTTAATTAGCTTTCTCCTCCTGGAATCTCCACTCTCCACATCATCATCAACTTTTTGTGTGTTCCAACCTGTTTTTTCTCACTTCCCTGAACTACCTTAACACTGCACCCCTATTTATGACTTCTAACAGATCCCACTTTATATTATAGGTATTTATGTATTTGGATTATTTATTAAGTCTTAAGACTAAACTTTGTTCACCCTTAACTTGCTGCAGGCAAAAACATTGAATCTTTTAGACCCCATGTACTCAATCAATACTTCTTCATTTATAAAGAATGACTTAACTATGACAGGAGATATTGTGGAATCGGGGTTACTGATTTGCTTAGTAGCCAAAACCTCACCGAGATAGAGTCTTGAGAAGTTTTCCAAAAATCTACTCCAGGCATGTGTAAGAAGACAATGATGCCTTGTTTATAATCTCTCTCAAATCCCTTAGAATAGAGAGAACAGGAACAAAAAAATATCTTTCAAGAGCATGTTACTGGCAAAAGAGAGATAGTCTGTGAATTGTCACTTAGCTGATCTGGGTTTCATCTGCAAGTGAGCAGTTTGGGTCAAGTGATTTTTATTTTTCTGGTGCTAAAGTTAAGTGGTTTAAAATGACATCATGTTATAAACCAGAAGGAAAAAAAATATTAGCTCATTTAAGCTAGTACAGAAAATGGCAAAGAGAAAAAACAGTGCAATTCCCAGTCAGAAAACAAGGCTTCTATACTACACATTCTCAGCAGACAGACACCTTATAACCACACACATTCTTTGGTAACTTTTAAATATCATTGAGTCACCAAGGTCACTGTCTCTGCCATTTGATTTATACATGTGTCCCAGGCAGGCATCCTGTACTGCATTCTGCTGCAACCTCAATTCCTTAAGAAGAGGATAGGATTTAAATAAATCAGAAAGGGGAGGTTAGTTTTTCCTGGCAGTTTATAAAATGTCAGGTTAAAGGTAGTATTTAAATATTTGAAGGTTCCAACCAAGAGAGGTGGGAGTTGCTGAGTGGTACAGATAAGATCTCGACAACGAACCACAAGGCTGGGGGTTCCAAACCACCAGAGGCAACACCAGAGAGGTGTGGTGATCTGAAAGGTCACAGCCTTGAAAATGTGACAGAAAAGAGCTCTGCCCTGAAACATGTGGGTCTTGTTACTGGTCATTTATACTACATGCATTATTCTCCTACTGTGTTTGCTAAAAATGCAATCAATTTCCTCTCTTACAGATAAAAAAGGAAAATTCAGAGCTTTGGCTGGGAGTCACAGTGCTTCACAGGGCAGTGTGCATAAGAAATCAGACGACGAGTGCATTGCTTTGAGCCCTTGAATCTACCCATGATTCGCCTGGGATATTCTCAAGCTCTATATGCTCGTTCAGAGATGAATAAGAGAGGAAACTATAGACACTTTCTCTTCACTGTATGCATTAAAGGAGACCTGTTGGTGTGGTGGTTAAAGTGCTCAGATGTAAACTGAAAGGTCATGACTTCGAGTCCACCAGTTGCTCCAAGTGAAAAATGGGGCACTCTGCTTCTGTAAAGACTACAGTCCCAGAAAATCTAGGCGGCTTCTCTCCTGTCCTCGGTCCTTTAGTGTCACTATGAGTCAGGACTGACTTAATGGTTCCAGGTCTGCTGGGGGGAGGGGCTTTTCTAGTTACTCATATTTTATAAATATTTGCACGCAATTTACATCTCTTTCAGAGTATTAAAAATACAGCTTTGTTTTACCATACAATAGAGGTTTTCTGAGCCATGCATATAAAATAGTATTAGTAGGAAAACTTTACAATGTCGTGATGGCCTACCTTAAAGGAAAATGTAATTATAAAACAATAAGGCCAACTTGAAATTGTGCATAGGACCAGTAACTGTGTCTTTAAGGCAATTAAAAAATTTATTGAATCGTGGTTAAAAGCAGATTGACAATGACAGTAAAGAATAAAGTAATTTATTTGGTGCTACTTTGTGAATGCTTCTAGCTACAAGTCATCTCCACCCATGTACACATCGCTTCTGCTTCCGTCACAACTCAGACAAAGTTTCCTGCAAAGTCATAGGTTTAGAGTGGATATACAATGATTACATTGTAAAAATAAAGAAAGAAAACTAGCATTTCAGTAAGTTAAGGTGCAGTAACTTTTCTCAAATAAAATATTAGCACCATACCAGATAAAATCAACTAAACCCTACTGGCCTCCTTGTTTTTTTAAAATAACTAAATAGAAACATTTTGGAAAGCACAAATATTAATTTGCAAAACCAGTGCGACCACAGTTAAATCTTACTCTCTCTCTTTTTTTTTTTTTTGCACTTCCCACCTGTCAGGAAAAAAAATTCTGACGTAAAAACGATCCCAGGAGATTCAACTCCAGCAAAGAGACGAGTCCAGTCCAACCAAGCGCTGCCCCTTCAGCAGTGAGTCCCCACCGAGGCGAAAGTGGACATTTCCCTGCGGATGGTGCTGAAGGGCGACAGCTCGAGCTCCGTGGTGTACTCGTTGTCGTTGTCGTCACTGGTCACCGTGGAGGCCTTCTGGATGCACTCCTCGCAGCAGCAACAGCAGCACTCCATGAAGGCGCGGCTGAAGGGTTTGCAGAGACAGAAGAGCAGGACCGGCGTGACGCACGACTTGAAGAACAGCAGGAACTGGCTGATGATGTTCAGGAGGTCCATCGTCTGCTGCGAGACGCCCGTGGCCATGTAGGCCGTGACGATGTTGCAGATGTTCTCTGGGATGATGCAAAACCCGTACAAGATGGTCAGAGCCACGACCGTGCAGTTCATCTGGCTCTCCAGCTGGATCTGCCGCTTATTGCCCCGAGTGCAGGCCTTCTCGGCCTTGCGGATCTTCCTGGCGGTCACGAGCGAGCAGGTGATGGTGAAGAGCGTGGGCAGGCAGAAGTAGCAGCCGAAGTACCACCAGAGCCGGGCGCTGTCGTAGGTGAGGGCCAGGACGTAGATGGTGTCCGGCAGGTCCGGGGACACCTTGATGACGCAGCGCTGCGCGGGCGCACGACCACTCAGCCCCAGCTCGTCCTGGCTCAGCTGGCGCAGAACCACCTCGGGCAGGGCCAGCAGCAGGGCGCCCACCCAGATCACGGCCAGCTTGGCGGTGGTGGAGGAGCAGTTCTCGATCATCTCGTAGTACATCTGCACGTTGGTGGCCGCGCGGAAGCGGTCAATGCACAGTGCACACAGCGTGAAGGTGGTGACTCCGAGCGAGGCGACCTGGGGGAGCAACAGAGAGGACTCTCATTCCATGAGGTCTGTGCAGGGTCAAAGCAGCAACACGCTTTCCTCCCTGCCCTCCCCCCCCCCCCCAGTTCGTTTTTCTCTTTGAAGAAAATTTTTTTTTCATTGTTATACACCCCCCCCCCAAGTCCACAGTCCATTTTATTATACATTTCTTTTTCTGTAATCTTGTCATGGAAATAATACCTAACTATCTATTCCTTTAAAACAGTTCTCTCTTTCATCTGTTTCAATGCAGTATATACATTATGTATCTCCTTTTTTCTTAGGTTCCCCCCAACCCTGATGTCAGTCCCATTTTACAACACTGGGACTATGCATTATTTGTCTTTTTGTGAATACGCTATAAAAATATGTTGTATTAAAAATCATTAATTAAAAAAAAAGAAAAAATACTATGGAAAGTACAAGAAGCCAGAAATAAAAGAATATATATTATTTCTTTAAAAAACAACAACAACAAAACAAAACAACCCAGTAATACGGTTGGCAGGAGAGTCCAGAAGGAAGAGAAATGCACGTTGGGGAAAGGCCTGGGAAAGCTGGCTTGGGACTAGCAGATTGGTTTTACGCTAAAAACCTATTACTGAGAAGTAGGAGAGTCAATTGTAACTCATGGAAGCTTGTACACGTCAGAACACAACTGTGCTCCACACCATGATTTTAATGGTGGAGAGATAGATAGATAGATAGATAGATAGATAGATAGATAGATAGACAGGCAGACAGACAGACAGGAGAGAGAGATGCAGATATAGAGATATGTTGTTGTTGTTGTTGTTTAATGCCATCGAGTCATAGACGACTCATAGCGACCCTATGAACGAACAGCCTGAGCACTATTCGTACATAGAGTTTCTGGAGGCAAGCCATTTCGGAAGTGGATGCCGCTGCTGCTTCCAGGCTTGATTTAGTCGGGAAGCTCCAGCCAACACTGTCCACCATGGGTGCCATTACCACGATTGGCACATCACTGTCACAGGCTTCAGCATCACAGCAACCAAGAGTTACCTCTGTACAGCAATGTGCAGACCAGTGCTATACCACCTAGAAGAATGGCCTCCCACGAGCCTGAGGAGGAGCCAGCCAAACCAGGAACAACATGGCCACTTCTTCCCAGTCGCCTTGGGCTTAAGGCTCCCTCCTGGTTCAAACCCTAGGCCCAGGCTGGCTAGCCTCACTCCAGGGACAGAGCAAACCTGCACGTCAAATAGATATATAGATATATATCTCAAGATTATAAATATTTTTTGTCCCCAAGTCTGTCTTGTGTCAAATGTGTATGTAAGCTGAACTAGCTAAGTAAGGTTCATCAGTTAATAAGATGTTTATCTTGGCTTATCTCTCAACTCATTGTCATCAAGTCCAACTCAGTGATTTACAGCCTCTGGCCACCTGTTGGAGGGTCAGCTATGAGAGTCCCAACTTGATGAGAAGGAGCTGAGTTTTTTACAGTGAAAGAAGATTAAAACTAGGAACTTGGGAATAAGCTAGTCCAATAGCACTTATTTTGTCAACAAGAAAACAAACTGAAGTGCAAACCCAAGGTATAAAGAGGCTGCCAAATACAACAAGAAATGTACAATCTAGAGAGGATAAAAATGATGCATGGGACCTTCTAAAGATTAAATCCATGTGTGCATCAAAAACTTTTTCCACCACGTTGAAAAGAAAACCTACAGATTGTGAACAAACAGTTGGTAATACCATCTCAGACAAAGGTCTTATAGCAAAAGTTTACAGAATACTGCTGGACCTCCACAAGAAAAAGACTGATAACCCTATTACAAAATGGGCAAAAGACATGGAAAGAATTTTCACAGAGAAAGATATTTGAATGGCCAACAGGCACATGAAAAAATGCTCCAAATCACTGGCAATAAGAGAGATGCATATCAAAGCCACAATGAGATACCATCTCACTCCAGTAACAGTGGGAAAGTTTAACAGGGCAGCAAGTAATAGATGTTGGAGAGGATGTGGTGAGATAGGAACTCTTACACATTGTTGGTGGGACTGTACAATGTTGCAACCATTCTGCAAGGCAGTTTGGCACCTCCTCAAAAACCTAAACATAGAAATTCCATATATTCCATATGTTCCAAATTCCATATTCCAGCTATTCTACTACTTGAAATATACCCTGAGAAAATGAGAACTGAGGTACAAACTAAGATTTGCACACCAATGTTCATAGCAGCATTATTCACCATCGCAAGAACATGGAAACAGACCAAATGTCCAACCACAAACAAATGGATTGAGAAATTATGGCACATTCACACAACAGAATACTATGCAGCATGCAGGAGCAATAACTTTGTAAATTATTACCTACCTTGGGAGGACTGAAGAGCATTATGCTAAGTGCACTAACTCAGTCCCAAAAGGATAAATATTGTATAAAACCATTATTGTAGAATGAGTCTAAGGATCCAAGAGGGGTGGGAGAGGGTGGAAGCAGAGGGCTGAGGATGTGCGAGGGAAGGGGATTAATCATGGGTCATACAATTTGATGGTGAGGAAACTCAAAAGAATTTGTTCTTGAAGATAATGTATTCATATTTTGTAAATAAACTAGTAGAAAATTTTTAAAAAAGAAAACAAATTAAAGACTCCAAGATCACAGTTGCGGTGAAAATGCCCATCATTAGGAGATGTAAATGAGGAGGATGGGGAGTTGGGTGGTTGGTTCTCATTTTCATTTCTGAAAAGGACGGCCTTGTTTTCCAGCACGGGGTGGTCAATCCTGTTCCTATGTTGTCATTGTTAGGTGCCTTCAAGTCAAGCACAACTCATAGCGACCCTGTGAACACCAGATCTGTCCCACCCTGTGCCATCCTCACAATCTCTGACACACTTGAGCCCACTGCTGTAGCTTCTGTGTCAATCCACCTGATAGAGGGTCTTCTCTCTCACTGACCCTTCACCTTCCCAAGCATGTTGTCCCTTCCCAATGAACACACCCAAAGTATATCAGCTGAAGGTTTATCATCTTTGTCTTCAAGGAGGCCTCAGGGTCCATCTTTTGCAAGATATGTCTGTCTGTCCTTTTTGAAGTCCATGGGATATTCATAGTCTCCTATTATAACGCCTGACAGCGGGCACTTAAGAATTTACTGTTTCACAGAGAGTAGCTGATTAAAGAGATCTCTTCTATTTTTTTTTCTAAACAGCAGAGAAAATAATTGTGAAATGCATATGCTTATGGAAAAAGAAGGACATGAAATTGTCTAGAGACCAAAATCAACAAGAGTATATTGCGAAGAAGTCAGGACCCTCACCACAGCTTGGTGTTTGCCTTAAGGGTATCTGCTAATTCTAGTGAGAAAGTCCAGATCATTAGCTAGAAGGGTAGGGGGCACATGACCAGACACACTGAGCCAGGAAACAAAATTGGGGTCAACATGGGTGAGCAGTGGGTCAAAGATCACCCCTAAGTTTGTGAACTCCCCAAACAGTAGCATCTTCAGGATGTAGAAGTGGGAAATGGGAGAAGTTGCTTGTATTACAGATTTGGACATGGGTGAGCTGAAGAGGAAATGAAAGGGGTGGGGGCGGGAGAAGGGCAAACTCCTAACTAGAAACCTGTACTTACTGGAGGCCAGAGAAATCCAAAACACACTTGAAAACCATTTAGGAACTTGGTAGAATTAAACACAAATCATTTCCAGAAGAACAGACTTTAAAAAAATAATCACCCAAGCATCAGTGAAATCCCACAGATCCCATTTACTCGGAACAGGAGTTTAAAACCAAAAACAAAACAAAACAAAAAATCACCAATTGCTACAGGCAGCAGAAGTGATGTGTCAAAGGAAACAAGCTACAGAATCAGGCATGAAATAAGTACACCTATCACAAAAGGGAGCTCTGGGGGTTATGTAAGAAGCTGTACTGACAACCCAAAGGTAAGCGGTTTGAATCCACCAGCTGCTCTGAGGGAGAAGGGTGGGCAATCTCCCCCTGTGCAACTTACAGTTTTCTGAAAACCCGCTATAGCAGGTCAGTTAGAAGTCGGTTGCAACTCCATAGCAAGGAGTTCATGAAATAAATAGAGTCATTATTTGTATATTTAAACAAAGATAAAGAACAAAATGTTAAATTTTCATGTAAGAAAAACGAAGATAATATTTGAGATGTGGAAACAACGACCTAGTTGGATGAGCTACTCTGGGCTGTGCCCACACTCGAGTGTGCCCACACTCCACTTGCCATCGTCAGGGAGTTCACGGATCACAGCTCTAGGTCATGCTGTTGCAGAAGGGCAAGGAAGAAAATGAAAATACACTCTTCACATGTATTTTATTAGAACTCAAAGGGATGGTGTTGACAGAAGGAAAGCCATTTGTCATAATAATTTTAACACTCAAAATATTAGTTGTTTATCGGTTGCATTCAAGCTGTCAGTCTCCATTAGTATTGTGATTTGTATACAGATTTCATTTCCTGAGAGTTCTAATATCAAATAGTGTCCTCTAGTTACACAGTGCAATGTGCAATGGCACATCAAACTGTATCCCTGAGTTTTAACATGGAAAATAAGGATATTGTAACTATATATATTATTTCTCTACTCTCAAAACTACTAACGGAGGCAGTCTAAAACTCAGTTATAATATTGTATTAACTACAAGAGAAGTGAAAATAAAAATGTTCATGATTAAATAGAATAAAATTGAAATTCCACTTCTAAAGCCTCTAGAAGGTCTCCCATAAACCTCAGCATAAAAGAGATTATGTACATAACTGTCCTCAGAAAGCAATTTCTAGATTCACGCTTTTAGAATTACCTCTCAAATTAATAAGTTACTCACATTTATGATCGTTTGGTTTACATCTACACTGGAAACACAAATAATTATAAAACTGAGGTCCACATTGGACAACTGGTTTTTGACGCTTTTTTTTTAAAAAAAAATCAGTGACGGCGGCACTTAGGATGGGAATCTGAAAAAAACCAGTCATTTTTTTTT